CCCCAAAACCCCAAAACCCCAAAACCCCAAAACCCCTTGAAGCTTGATATAGCTTGAAAAACTTAAAAGAATTAATAAAAGTATTAAAAATGGATAGACAAATAGGAGACATGCTAAATTCAGGTATGGTTATTTCCAACTAATTTAGCGCTTCTCATACACTCTTTTTACCTACTTTGGTTTATGTCAGATCTTTTCAGTAATTTACCCCTTGTTTAGAAACCATAATTGAAGAAGACTTGCAAAATGTGAGGGATTTTGAAAATGTTATAATGAAAACCAAAACTTATGCTGGGCACGAGCGCGAAATTATCGACATTCTTGCTGAAGATCTTGAAAGTTCAGAGAACTTAGAGGAGTATGTTAGCCGCAAACCTGAGGATTTTGATCCTAAAGAGCTGTTAGACCATAATTTTCATGCTTATAAGTAAGATTTACTTCAAAACTTTTAGATATACTAGAGGACAGCTGATAGACTGGATAATGAGTAAGTTAGAAACTCCTAGTTTTTATACTTCAAAATAGATGTAAAAATTCGTAAAAAAAATTCAAAATTATGAAATTTCTGAATCTTTAAGAGTATTCTTAAATAAAACTCCTATGGAAAATAATCATTTATTTAGTTATTTTCGATCAGCTTGAGTTGACATCAGAGGTTTATCAAGACAAACTCAGAGACTTTTTGGTCAATATCTGCAATGCTTACAGAAGAGTACCCTACCACCACTTTACTCATGCCTTCTCTCTTACTAATGCAGCCTATTGGATTTTGAAGAATATCGGAGGTCCATCGAATGAGGATGGCATGTACAAATTCTTCTCAAAGGATGATATCCTTGGCATTATACTTGGATGCATTGGTCATGATGTGAACCATCCTGGCATGAACAATGCATACCTTATCAAGACTAAGGACAACCTCTTCGAGTTATGCTCCAAGTACACTGATGATGACTGCATGACAACTGATAGTGATGACAGCATGTCTAGCCATGTCCTTGAGGGACTCGGTACTGATAATAAGAACAGTGTTCTGGAGAACATGCATTTAAAAATCATGATGCGTTATATGGATATCCTCCCAAAGGATAAAGCTGAATCTGTCTCTCAGGCTATTGCTGAAGGCATTTTATGAACTGATATGTCTAAGCACGGTGCTTTAGTCGAGAAATTAAAGACTATTGGAGACAAATTTAGAGAAAATGATTCGTACACTCCAACTCAAGAAGAGAGAACATTCTTGGCTGCAATGATAGTCCATGCTTGCGATCTGAGCGGTCTTATTTTGGACTATGATCATTCCTTTAAATGGGGAATGAGGATTGCTCAAGAATTTCATGACCAGTACTCGGCTGAGGAGAAATTGGATCATGAGAAATATGGTCCACCTATGTCTTTCCTCAAATACTCAGGTGTCAAAGCCTTTAAAAAGTCCCAAGCTGGGTTCTGTGAGAACATTATTTTGCCAATGTGGCAAGTTTTATTTGATATACTACAATTCGATAAAGTAGTAATAGATAGCATTCAGGAGAATCAAAAACTATTACTGGAGGGTTCAGCCTAATTTCATTAGAGTCTCTTGTTGAGGATGGCGAGATGCCAATACCTATCAAGAGCAAATATATACTCAATATTTACTGTACAGTTTCAATTAAGATGTGTCTGCTTCTTGTACTAGTTACTCAAAAAGGAGTTATGAAGGTTTTCATATTTGGGTTAGTTCAACACTTGGTTGGCCTCTTGGGGTTTTGGGGTTTTGGGGTTTTGGGG